TTCGTTAACCGTGCTCTCTAGAGCTCTGAATTTTAGCAATAGGAATGGAAAGAGAAGAGCTGAAAACAGACTGAAAGAACCAGGCAGGCTGAGATGGCGGAGGGAAGCACAGCCTCACCAGGAGAGCGAACGGACTCAGCTTGGGCATTCCTCCGCTGCTGTTATGCCCCAGCCTCTCACCTCCTGGAAGCCTCAACAGAACCACCCCAGCATCTGCAAAGTCTCCATTCCTTTAGGTTGCGTAAGGGAAGACAGCTACTCTTCCCTCATATACGTATAAAAACCACGGAAGCCTTTACATCTCTTGGACCTCAGCAGAACATCAGCTATAAACACGTGCTTTGCCAACTTCAGATAGTGTTGGTAGTGAGGTCAAATTCACAGAAAGGATGTGTCGTTGCATTCTGCAGTCATAAAGGGGAAGAAAAAGGTTTCTAACCGCCCAACAAAATAAGGGCCAGGTCAGGCAAATGTTTTAGCAGGTGTTTCAAGTACCTGTAACTAAAAATGTGTTAAAGCAACAACAAAAGCCCTCCAAAACCTCCACCTCCTCTTATTAAATTAAAATTACCTACAATAGATGAATCGAGTAATTAAAAAAAATTTAAATGGGCCTTTTGTTTGTAATGTCTAAAGGTAGACTCTTATGCTCAGATTTAGTTCCTAAGAAATGTTTTTTAAAGCACCAACCTGAATTAGGAACAAAAATTCTGTCAACTTCAAACCCTGATGTGGAGTAAAATCAGACTGAAATGTTTCAGACCTCATGAAGGTTCAATACATCTATTATCATCACAGCAGTTGGTAATACCACAGTAAATCTAAAAAAATCTGTTTATCTAATCTGCATACTGTATTTCTCCATCTCACATCACATATATGCCTTGGAAGTGTCTTTTTCAGAACAGACAAACTGCTGAAATTTAGGACTTCTTACAGGTAAAACCTTTATATAAGCAGGAAAGGAACAATGCCAGAGAGATGCAACATGAGACTGAAGTTCGGAAATTCTCATTCAAGTCTCTGCTATAAGAAAGACTCTTCATGCAACCTCGTGCTACTCTTGAGATTCTCCGTGCCTTAGTACTTTGTACCACTTTCTTCTTGTCAAAGATTTGTGACAAATATTCCAGATTGCCCCTTGGCACTCTGACATGGAGCCATGTCAGAATTACAACTAGTAGAAGCAATTTTCTGAGTGATAAGAAGCTTAAAAACAAGTACAAAATCCCTAACAGCAAATAAAGACTGTAGAAACTAGTAACATTTAATTAAAAAAACCTAACAGTAGATAACAGCAAAACTTTTATTTCACACAAAAGATACCTGTTGAGTTAAAAAATTCTGTCACTTAATTGGAGATTATAAAAAATAATATTTCACAGATTTTCTCTCAGTCTGTTTGGAAAATGACAATATAATCACAATGTAAACTTCCAGTAAACTTAAAAAAAAAAAATCAAGCATTCTAGATGAAGCAAATTATCACCTTCTGAGAAGTTGTGCGTATAGAAAAATCTTCCCATGGTACTAAAAGAATGCCGCTGAATTGCATCCTGCAAATTGAACCTTCCAGCAGCTTAATCTGAAAGTGAGGCAGATAACCCTAATAAAAAAAATAAATTTATAGTCTGAGATGGAACTTCAAAATTAGTTCATTTAATCATATCAAAACAGACAATTTTTATGAAGATGTAATTCGATTTATGTATTCTCCTCGGTGTGGCATTCATCTGTGCAATGCTCTTGATACCAATTTCTAAAGCACCAGGCACACTCAGATGAAAATATAGCCAAGAAAGGATTAGTTTCATATGTACAATGATGAAAGTGATCCAGCTGGAAAGTTTGCTACCTAACAATTCATAGCACAGACTGTGATGAAAAGGACTACTGTGCCTCATGTTAACTACATGACAAAGGATGTTAAACGGACTGCTGAGCAACCAAGGTAATACATTTCAAAATTATTTCTTCCACAGTTGGCACAGTGAACAAGATTCACCCCCATACCATTTCACTAAAGACAACAGACCCAAATGTTGTGAATATTTAAAACATCTGGTCACATACAAACCTAGATCAACATTAAATTAACTTGGGGAGGGGGGAAGTAATTTAAATTTAAAAAAATCAATAAATTAACACAGACAAAATAGAAATACTTGACACTAAAACTAAGCTACTGAGGCAACACTTAAAAGTGTCTGTAAAAACACTGGATGAAACTTGAATTTGCTGCAACTCCTCTCTGTCTTCATCTCTTGGAGACCTCCAGATTCTGATTTTCACCTCTCATGGAAATCACCTGACCTGATGAAGACTTCGAGATGAGTAAGGCAAGCAAGCAAAAGCCTGGCTGTTAGGAATGTTATAACTGAACCTCAGCTGCAAAGCAACAACAGCTGTAAGCATGCATCTGCATCTGTAACAACCACTATGCTAAGTACAATTCTAGGCTTATATCTGAAGTAGCAACTGCTTCATCTCAAGTTAAATATCAATGTCATCATTTAGACCCCTTACTATTTTTTTAAATTTTCCATATTCTAAAAAAACAGCATACAATGCTCCTATTTAAACCCTCTATTCATGCCATGAAAAAAACCCACAAAACAATCCTTGCTCTCCAGCTTCCACTTAAACCTGAAACTGCCATTTTTAGGGTTTTAGGCCCTAGCAGATTCTTTTCTTCTATTAATCAAATGGTATCTTAATGATACATTGCATCACTTCAAAGATTTGTAAATGTTAGATGAGGTGAAGAGTCAGAGAAAAGGTACTGGGAGTTTACCTGAGAGGCTGTTCCAAAAATACCAACGCACACGCTTTGATATTAGTGACTAAAGCCCTTAAATTGTTCCCCAAGCCCACCTTCACCATAACACCTACAAAACACTTGAGAACAATTAGCCAGCTGATGTGCTGCAAGCTTATTATATCACTTATAAATGACTCGCTACACCCTTACGCTCCGCTCTTCCCACGACTGGCTGGCTGACCAAAATTCAGACTGCAAGAGCTCTGCAGAGCAAATCGCCTCTATCGTGTCTGTGCCAGGATCAAAGCGTAAGCCCTGGCTCTTTGACACTGTCTTATTACAAAAGACAAGAAGAAACGTCGTCGGGAAGGCATCAGGGTTGAGACAACCTTTGTTCTTACAATTTCAGATGAACTAAGGAGGAAGTGAGAGGTTTGGACTATGGATGAAATACGTTGAACGCAGACCAAGATATGACTTAAACATGCTTTGTAACAGGGCGCTCAAACAAGCCAGGCAGCGATAGCAGGGGGTTCTGCCCCATCCTCCCCAGGAACAGGGACACGCGCATATCCGTAAGAGGAACTCAAGTCTATCAGCAATGAGTGCTGACAAGTACAAGCCATGCCAGGAGTGCTTCAACCTGCTGCCCTCTCTTTTCTTCACTGTTTCCTCACTGGCAGCCTCACAGGACTGTACTGGCGTACACGTGGACAGGCAGCAAGCAGGATGGTCTGTGGCTGCCTTTGCGTGTGCAAACACAGGACAGGGACACAAACTGTTATCCTCCAGGGCAAAGCGTGGAAGATGAGAGGCCGGGGCTCACAGCAGACCAGAGAAGGGGGTATGTGTTTGCTTGTGGGAGGGACAGGGGAGTACCAGAGTACTAGAATGAGGATGATCTTGACCTCTAACAACAGTAGACCTGAAAACATTAAAAAAAAAAAAACCACAAAACAAACAAACAAAACAGTCATCCTTTTGGCCAAGAGATTTACCCCAATTCTAAAAAAATTAAATTTTCCCTTATATTTTTTCATTCCCACTAGGACTAACAGTACACACCAACTGCAACACAGGAGCTCACAGAATTCCCCAGGCTCACAGCAGTCCAGTGCACCGGCTGGAAGCACAACGAAGGAAGCGAACTGCGGACAGTCTCGGCATATAACCTGCTCTCAGACCAGAGGTGTGGCAGGGGGATGTCGCTGTACCAGGGACAGGGCGAGACAAGACAGTGTAGACTGTAATCCATTATTAACCGAGGAATACTTAGTTCACTTTCATTTTCCAATATGGCATCAGTAAAAGACAAGGATATTCTTTAGGAAAACTAATCAGTTTGAGGCCATACCACTTTCTTAACAGCATTACAGTACTCAAAAATATTTCATCTAAGCTAGCTTGAAAAAGCTGTGGTCAATGAGGTTTTCTTTCTCAGATACTGACTTCGACCAGTTAGATATGCGTTTGCCAACAGTCTTTAGCTCCTGCTATATTCGAACAATCTTTAATCGCATGAAGGCTAAAGAAAAATGTCTCTGATTTAGTTCTGTGCACTTATGAATAACTCAAATACTACAGTTAAATTTACAGCATAGTTCCCTTAGCTGTTTAGAAGACAATTGTTTTCTTTCCTTTCCCCTTAAGTTCTAGTATGTAAAATATCAGAAGAATTTAGATTAAAAAGGGGGGAGGAGGGGGGCACACACATGTTATTTTTAAAGTTGTTCTTGAGAAAATTTCCACATACAAAACTGTGGCATTTCTCCACTGTTCTGAGAATAATTTGCATATGTTGGCATCATCCTCGAGTGGCTGCCACAACTCTGGTATCATAAAGCGACATGTATTTTCTCTTAGCTTATCAAAACACATTTTATTTAACTGCTAAATTTGGTCTGATCCAAGTTTTTCTTCTCACTTCACAACAAACAGGAAAATGCAGATGCCATACTTTGATGGCACACATGCACCCTACCAGGGAAACAGGGCACAGAAGCCAGATCAGTCCTCCTAAGCGTACGACTGCTCAGATCACATCGCTGCACTCATGGCTCAGTAAGACTCTAAGTTCACACTAAAACGTTCACATTGTTCACGACTGTTCTAGAAGTCCCGTCTAGGTAGCACTAAAAAACAAATTGTTTGGCCCCTTCTGTTATGATGCTGGAACATTGTGTCAATATACTTTGGCATATATTTAAAAAATCCCTGTAATATACCATATACTGTGACATTTCCACTTCAGATCTATCATTTACATGTGAAGCACGAATCTCGAAAGAACCTAGTAAAGCTGTAAGAAAGACTACATTTTGCTGAAGCTCTCAGACACCCACTCCATTCAGTCACACCAGCTGGAGAGGTAAGTGTCAAGATACAGCTTTATTCTTAAAAATGAATATGGAGGTAAAACTCCACAGCCTCCTCCACAGCAATAATTTTTTCAAGTGAAACCACAATGATCTGTGCTCCTGATTCTTCTATGTCAGCAGCGTTTCTCAGAAACCTTTTTGCAAATCTGGACATCTTAAAATCACATTTAAGTTATTTTGCAATTTACAGAATTGTCCCTGCACTTCCCAGTCCAGCTGATAGGCGTCTTAGACATGACATCCATTGGAAGATCTTTTGCTCCTAGAGGTAGAGGAGTCCTTAGCTACCCTCTGTCTAGCGCAAGAGGCACAAATAGCCCCCGAGAGACGCTTAAGCCCCTTCTGAAAGACACTGTTGGAGAGACTGTAAATGACACAGTTGCAGAAACTGTTGCTAATGGCAAGCCAAGTGGTCAAGAAGGATGCAATGCGGTTACTATAGACATTAGAGCTCTCCAGGAGAAAATAGATTATGTAGGGCAACCAGAGGATGTAGAAGACACTGGTGATGCGGAAAAGAACCATGGCATAGCGCTTGTCCGGGCAGGGCTGTGCCTCCCCAGCCTCCCCATCCTGGGAGCTGAAGCGCACTCGCCTCTCGTTGATCTCCTTGGTGTGCTGCTGGCAGATGCGGAAGATGTTGAAGTAAGTGAAGCAGACGATGAAAGCAGCCGGAGCATAGAGCATCACCACAATGAAAAGGGTAAAATAGGGATCGGTGTTCCAGGAATTGGCACACCACTGAAACACATCCCCGTGATATCCAGGCTTTCCCCAGTGAAAGGAGGGTAAGAAGACCAGGCAGGAGTACAGCCAAATGATCAGTATGCAGATTCGAAGTCTCCATGGGGTAACTAGTGTGTTGTAGGTCAGTGGCTTCGTGATGGCAATGTATCTGTCAATACTAATGCATGCCAAAGAGGCCATGGAGACGTTTTTTTACGCTCTTCAGCACTGATACCACATAACCAAAGATTTGGCAAACCAAAGACTCACTTAAAACAATAGGGTAGTGCAGCAGAGACAAAGAAGGCACCAGACAGCTCACGCCCACCAGGAGGTCAGCATACGCCATAGTCTGGATGAAGT